TGGGTATAGATAGGTATTAGAAGTTTGATTTTTTTAGACAATGGTAAAAGGTACCTATACTAATATGACTAATACATTAAAAACTGCACTAGAATATATGCATTTTATTTTGAATTAGAGCACTGACTGAAATTATAAATTATTGTTGCCATAGGTATTGTATACATATGACACATCATTTAATATTTAAAATATTACACGGAAAATATAATATGTCATGTAACTTTCACAATTCTGATAGATATATAAAATAATTAATGAGAAACTATGTTGTCGAAATATTGAGTCCTGTTGAATGCATGATAAGGGTTTTGAACCAGAAATTGTCTAGGCGTTTATCCAAATGTGATTAAAAAGCACGACAAACCTATTTTGTTCCCTCAAGAACATTTAAAACATTTTACGGCGTTGAACCTTATATTACGTAAATTATATCAGATTTCGACGTGTTTAAGAAATAAATTATCAACGCATACCGAGGTTGTTAAATTGTGTAGGTAAAATATATTATGTAATATAATTTTTTAGGTTAACTAYGCCCAAGGATTTCTCAAACAGACAACCATCACGATTTTAGAGCCTTAGAGGGATTCAATGTCGCATGTTTCTAAACATTGACTGTCCAGTATTAATATTTACAGTATTTTCAAATGTCGTGGTTGTGACAGGGATATAATGAAWGTTAATAATTTTAATTGGAATATATAAAATCTTGTAAAATAATACATTATATTAAATTTTATTTTTAAAGTAGCACAATGCAATCAATAAAGAAACTGATAAATACTTAATTATTTAATTAAGACATTCAATTTAATTGTGTGTTGTTTTCAAATGTTGACAATACAATTTGTATTATTGACTACATAAAAACTAAAATTGGTTTAGAGTTGAAAGAAATGGGTGGATGTCAACAGTTTAAGTGGATGTGTCTGATATTATGGGTAACATTTTGGACTTCAGTCACTGCGTAAAGCATAAACTATATAATTTTATATGAAATTAGTTTGATTCATTCTTTATAATATCTTTGTGAAAAAATACACTTATTAACAAATATAGATATAAAAGCATTTTATTTTTTGTAAGACATTGTTGACAGCAACTTAATTATTAAAATTTTACTTCTAAAGATTGTTTGTAAAATACAATACTACAATAATAAACTACTTATCATGCTAATAAATTAGAATTTTATAAGCTTCAAATACAATGAGATAAATTTAATTTAATTTTTTTTTTTTCATTTTGCATTAAGTATACCTATACTTCAATTTTCAATAGTTGAATATAAAATGAATAAGTTAGTTAAATAAGACAAATAACTAGAAACTACTTATAATATCTATTCTATTATAAAATAATTTTAAAAAAGTTTTCTTAATATTTGTTGATTAAAATGTAGCTAATTTTTTTAAAGAACTTAATTTTATATTAAAAAGTATAATAAACTAAACTACATTCTAGCTTTTTACTGTGATTCTATTAACTAATTCATCACTGGCGTGGATCAATGGGAGGAGGATATGTGATTATAGTATGTATTTTTTAGTATAATAAATAGATCAAATGTCTTAAAATCCAAAAATTTAAAATATAAACCAAATTATTAATATTGTTATTAAATTTTATTTCCGGTGTAATCTATAATTTATTATGACATTATGAACCTACTAAAATGTAATTTGTATTTGTTCTGAAAAAATGTATTCTGCTATTTCATTCCGATCAGCGCACAATTAATTATTGACATTCACAAATCAATACTTTTGTATATAATCTACCTGCCTAATTATTACTATAAGCTAAGTATTATAAAAATGAAGATTATTTAAAAAAATTACTTTTTAATAAACTGTGAGTACTAATAAATTACAAGCCTCTCTTTTTTTTTCCAATATATTCAAACATATCCTCCGGGGAATCTAAATATTCAGATAAAACAACAACTCCAGTACAAAGGTAAGTGTTAAGATCAAGATCAGTAAGATCTTTTACTGCATCTCTTATACATTCTTCCATGTTAACAAGTTCTTGTTCTGTGAATGGTTCAGGAACTCTAGCATTCACATTTTTCAAATGTTCCGTTAAAGTTATGTAAACTTTGCCCGGTTTATCATTTAAAAAATGAATATCTTCCTGGATATCTTTAAGAAGTTCATAAAAGAAGAATTGCTCCTGGGTATACATGTGGATGTTTTCTATGGAATCTGTAAACATTTAAATTGTGCAATATTATTAATCACACATTAATTTACTGGCATGAGATAATTGACTAAAAGATATCTGTTTAAGCATAAATAAACTCTTGAGTTACCAAGTTAATGTGATATAAATAGTTCATATTTCTCATCTGTTGTAATAAATTCAAAATCACATTATTATGTACTTTTATTAGCCTATTTTTGTTATCAATTATATGTAAATAAAT